ATTAAATTGCCTGCGTTTTTTTTTTTGACACAACGGTCCTTTCTTTTGCGTAACAGCTCATTTCCCCCACGCACGTGACCCCCGTGGGGCGCCGAATGCAACAATGGCCGCGATGAACCCGTCGTGTTCATGTAACGGCTCCGCATCTCTTGCGTAACGGTTTTCGCGTCCGGTGTTACGACTCGCCTTTCTGTCCGCCCCATCGTGTACAAAAGGAGCATCTGGGGGTCGTCGTTCGCACGACCTCATTGGACGTCTGAGCAGCAGCGTTTGGTAAACCGTCGTTTGAAGGCGGGCGCCTAACAGTTCGGATGTCACCCACGGGGCGACGGTTACATGCCGTCGGACATCGGATCGCATGGGGGATGCGCCATATGCTCTAAAGGTACACATCTGTCGTAATGACATAATTCAGACCACCTCCCACCCTCCATGGAGCGTCTTATCGTGTTAGAGAAACTATAAAAATAAAAAGAAAACATAAAGTACAGGTGAATTTGTGTGAAAAGACCCTTCTCAAAACCTCATCGAGCAACATCGGCGGTCGGCAATGTTCGGGCAGGAAACGTGTGAGTGAACGCGAAACCTTGCCGAACGCTTTCCCCGCTAAATTTAGCGGGGAAAATGACGTCACATGACTTCGTGTCACGTCACCCGTGAACAAATTTAGTTTCTCCGCGTAACTTAGCGGGAAAATTGATGTCACGTGACTCAACACCCATTCAATTCCCCGCTAAATTTAGCGGGGCGCTTACGCCGACGGCGACAGCGTCGCCGCTCGACGGGGAAACGGGCGCCTAAGAGCTGCGCTTTAAAAAAAAAAAAGCCCGTGTCGTCTGTATTGTTTTAGAGCGCAGCTCTTGGGCGCCTGTTTCCGCGTTGAGCGTCGTCGTCGTCGCCGACGCCGTCGGTGTAACAACGCGCGTTGCAATATGGGACGTCACAGTTTTCCCGCTAAATTTAGCAGAGAAACTGAATTGGTGTTGAGGTCATGTGACGACAGTTTTACCGCTAAATTTAGTGGGTAAACTGAATGCGCATGTGTTGCATTATGTTCCCCGCTAAATTTAACGAGGAATTGAATCGGTGTTGAGGTCACGTGACGGAGAAACTGAATTTGTTCATAGGTGACATGACACGAAGTCATGTGACGTCATTTTCACCGCTAAATTTAGCGGGGGAATTCAATTGGTGTTGAGGCCACGTGGCGTCGATTTTACAGCTAAATTTAACAGGGAACGTGTGGGAGGAGGGTAGGGTATGTTGGTGGAGGAGGTTACAGAACCAGTATGCGAGGAGAGGGACACACACACACATATACATATATATATATATATATATATATATATATATATATATATGAGAAGGCAGTGCCACTGCCGAAACGTCGACGGACGTCAGGCCCTTTTCTTATTTTTATCCATTTTTTATTTTCAATTCTTTATTTTATTTTTCATTTAACAATTTATTTTTGTAAGTTCTTGTGTGTTAACTTTGACTTTTACTCCGTCCTGTTTAGAAGTTTCTTTCCCGCGTAATTAGCGTTCTTGTGCCTAGTCTTCATTATTCCCGTAAACTAAGACAACTTTTTGTCGGCACTTCACCATTTTTTCTTGCGTAACTTTTTTCGCCATTAAATTAGAATTTTATTCTTTTCATCCTACGGCTGCTGTGTCTGCGCACATCACTTTTGCCCATATATCAACGGAAGCATTTGTCAACATTCGTCACTCTTTATATATATATATATATATATATATATATATATATATATATATATATATATATATATATATATATATATATATATATATATATATATATATATATGGGTGATTTTATTTCAAATCGTGAAGGAAAAAAAGGGTCAGATTTTTAATTTCGCTGAAAAAGATATATGTTATTGCACCGTCTCTAAAAACGCAGTCGCCACAAACCGCAAGCTCCTCAGATTTTTTGTTCTCGACTTACGAATTTTAAAAGAGGCCGCGGCGGAAAGCAGTGTTTTTCACATCCGTTGTGGGGCAGATGTTTCGCTCGATCTCCTGCCGTTGATTTTCAGTCCACATCATAATAACTTTTTCCAAGCACTCTGTGAGCACAATTAAAAGGCACTAATGCCATAAATTAAATTTAGGCGCTTTGCTTTTTTTCTGTAAAAATGTCAAATGTCGGTTTAATGTTGATGAACTTGCATCCAAAATGCATTTTGCATAGCATCCAAAAAATAGCACCGTGAGAACCGCGCTTCAGTTTCCGTCTATACTCCGTTTCACCTTATGTTGTACCGCAGAGAAGGCTAGAAGCGCGAGCTCATAGCGTTGGAAGCTGCTCTTGACGCACGAGAGCTCGTGCCGCCGAGATGTGCCCTAGAGCAAGGAGCTCGCGCTTCTAGCTTATCCTGCGGTACAACAGAAGGTGAAACAGAGTATAAAGCACGCCGAACAACTAGACTGGGCCGTTCGCTTCATTCTGTATAGAAAGGCTCCTGTAAGTTGCAGACCTAAAGCCCCTTGATAAAGGCGTTTTTGTTTTGTTTTGCAAGTTCCATTGTTGTGGAAATGCGCAAGACACGCGCCACGAGCGGGTGCTCCGCCGCCATTCGCTTCCAAGGACCGCTCATTACGGTGTTGCGCCGCCATTTTCTTCCAAGGGCCGCTCGAGACACGGGCCTCGTGCACCGGTGCACTATGACGCTACTTGCGAGACACACGCAAGCACATCGAGAAGCTTTAGGCAAACCCAACCATCGGTGTTCGAACCGATATAAAATGCCTGGCGGGGTGTTTCGCCGACCGAGTCGCACAACCATCGTCTCTCCGTTCCACCGGTCACACTGATCATATCATTCCTCATTCGGCGCTCACGTCACGATGAACCGCAGACGCTCCCGCGAGCCATCCGAACCAATCAAATGCCGCGCGAGTGTCACGTGACCCAGCGGAAGACACGGGGCGCGCAGTCACGTGACGGGTTCACAGCACTTGATTGGCTGGGTATGGTTCGCAACGATCGCTGCGGTCCACCGTGTACCAGATGGAACGGGGTGTAGTTGTGGAGCGGAGGACGGGGCCGGTGATGCGCGACGCCCTATTTTTAATTCACGGTTGCGCGCGCTTCGTATTTTCTTTTACGGCAGCTCCTGGCAGGCCGCTTGACCTTAACCCGGCAAAAGCGGTGTCGCCAAAGGGACCGTTGAGCGAAGAGGGCTCAAGAGTTACGAGCTTCCATGGCGAACCGACCTGATTGGCACTGTTGCTCGTTTATTTATATATTTCCTGTTTATTTTCTAACTTTTTTTTTGTTTTTAGAGGGAAGCGGGGGAACTTTAAAGTGCCGTTAAATTCACAGAGTGCTGCTGGCTCGTTTGTTGGATCACATCCCACGAGAGAGAGAGGAAGTTAGTTTAGGCGATTGCTGGTTTTTGTGACAAAGACGAGGCGGCGGTCGAAAGTGGCGCCTGCCAGAAAGTTGTCACCCGGAAGTCGGTCTGGTGTCATCTTGGCGGATTTCGAAAACGCTGGCGCCGCCGCAGAGAACGCGGGAAGAAGGAACCATCGATGTGATTTACAGAGAGCGGTTATAAGGAAAGACTAAACCGAGGAAATCGCTCAACACGAACTCGATGGTTGCTGCGGCACGAAGACTGCGACGAGGCATCTTTATTTAGATTGAGGTGAAAAAGAAAAGTATCAGTTCAGCAATAATTTTCGCGAAGACGTGTTTTAAATATAAAATCTTTCGTTCTAGTTTCTTTTCTTTTTTTTCAAAGTAGAAAGAAAAAGTCATGACTTAAATTGTTATCTAAATTATGATTTAAATTACGTAATTTTTATTATCATTCAGAAAACACATCTTTAAAAAAAGGATATTTCGAAACAAATATTTTCTTAAGCTAAAACTCTTTATTATTCTATACTTCCCATGAAGGCACACATTTTTTTTTAAATTCTATCTAGAGATTTTTAGTCAAGAAACAGTTTCTTTAAGTAAATTAAGAAGGCACACTGTAAAACAAATCCGGTTCGTCTCTCAGCGTTGCCAGATAGATCGGAAAAATAGTCGCGGCATCGGACCCGTATCGAAATTTCACTAGGTTACTCCAGACACTACGATTAAGATAAAAACGTGTCTAAAAGAAAGCAAGCATTCGTGTTCAAGTTACATATCTTATGAACAAACACATTCAGCTTCAGCTAGGTACGCACAGTGCGCAATGCCACGAAGCTACAGTGGAACGAAACCGACCAGCAGAACGCAAATGTCACCGCGTTCGTCATAACGGCACCACAAGAGAAAGAGACCATTTTTTCGAATAGTAGTTCGTGCACTACGCGAAATAGTTTTTGCAAGATTTATTTGTCAAAGTTCCTTTTCTTCTCTGTTTTTGTAAAAATAATTCGTACGCTCCGATTAAAAAAAAAAAAAAAAAGCCGATCTTAAAAGTAGGTTAGAAAGCCATTCGGAGGTTGGCACCTTGGCGGGATGCTATCTTTTACACTATATATATTTTTTGTCTGGTTTCTTCGGTCTTTGACTTTAGGCACAGTGACTACTTCAATTGATCGGGGTCCTGCGCTACCAAGCAGTGGGTACTTTAATGCCGCAACGACAGCACTTGGCACCACGAGACATTTTCCTCCCGTTTTCTTCATATTTTGCCTGGTAGTGGTTCAGGAACCAGGACACAGAGGGCTCAACTATTTCGCCAGACTTACACAATCTGATGGAGAATGTTCTCATCTGACAACACGGCTGCGGATGGGAATCTGCAGCTCCGCTCCGCTGTCCCGAACGCCCGATCTCCCGAAGGTCATCCTGGCGATATGCCGCACTGCCTGTTCTTAGTTACAAAAATGCAAAGGGGAAGAAAGTTGGCTTAGTAGGGCGGATGGATCAATTGTGGGTTTTCGGACTTCAGGCTAGGTGGCGCAAGCTACCGACCATTATAAAGGGCACGTCCGTTAACATCCATCCATCCATCCTGTCACTCCGCTCACCTGTCCTGCGGATGTGCGTGCGGTGTCCCGTGCCGCTCCTGGCGCTGACTCCGTCAGATCCTGGGCTGGGCCCAGGGCGGGAGCCCGGGCTCTCGCTGCACGCCCCGGGTCGAGACCCGCCCAGGAGCATGGACCCGGCGGGCACCTCGGCTCGTCCGGCACTCCCGGCACGGGGACGGCTCGCCTGGTGACAAGGGCAGAGGCACCGGAGGACTCCTCGTCATCGCCAGAGAAAATGCATGCACTAAAACCGTGGTCTCACCCAGGGCTTAAAGTCTGGGGGGTCTCAGGGGGTCTTCGACCCCCCACTGATTTTAACGGATGGTCTGGGACGCTCCTCCACAGCCCCAGCATTAGTGAAATCAAAATCATATCTTGCAATAAAATAGCTTGTTTTCAGGGATGTGACATTTGGGGATTAGCAATTTGAGGGTTGCAGGTAGGGCGGGGACATAGTCAGCAGTCGGTTTTATTTTATGTGCATCTAATACATTTCGTCAGAACCCCCCCCCCCTTCCCGCCCTCCTCCCTTCTTGTAGGGACCCCCCTCAACTTAGAGGAGACTTCAAGCACTGGTCTCACCGTCTCACTGCTAATATACATCGTATAAAGAGGACAGACTACAGACACTAAGGACTGTTTCTTCCTTGTATGGCGCTCACATTGGCCATACAAAAACTATCTGCAGATGGTCATCGTGACTTCAGCGACATCTTTTGTACGATGTCTCGGCTGCGCCTGCTTTCCCGCAGCGCACGATCGTTGAGCCAATCACTGCAATCCACGCACCGAAGTCGGCCAGTGAAATTCGCGACTGCTGAAGCAGTATGATTGAAGTATGCTGTCAGCTAGTGTCAGGCCCAGTGCCGTATAGTGAGTTTTCGCAGATCGTTTCCGCCGTTCCGCAACGCTCTGCGCAACCCGCCACGAGTCCAGGCTAGTGGCGCGCATGCGCGGTTCCGTCGTCTTAGTAGCGTAGGGAGTAGCAGAGGGGAAAGAAGCGGTCTACGAAAGCCCCCTATTCTCACAGACATTGTTTTTCGGTTAAAGCGCTTTTCCAGCCTCATGATTGGCCCGAGTTTCTCTGGAGGTCGCTGCGATTGACTCTCTGAAGTATTGCGTACCAATGGGCATTTATATAGCCTCAGCGGCAAAAAAGCGCTCAGCCCGTTTGCCACTGAGATCACGTTCTTATTGTTATATTGGCTTACGTTCAAAAACAAAGAAACCATCCCCCCCCCCCCCCCCCCCCTTTATAGGAAAGATCAATTATTAGTTCTCTAAATGCGCTGTGGCGAAGTATACTTGCAGTGAGTTCTGACTGTGCGTTCTCAGCACTGAGAACTTCGATCCTCGCGAACAGCAGTAGTCGTAGTTGCCAAACACCCGAACTGCCTGCGCGACAATGTCGTCGCAAAACGGACCCTCCCTACGGCACAAAAGCGCAGAATTGTTCTTAATCGAGGGACTTCGTGATCGCGGCATTGACCGGGACGTCTTGGGAGCGCTGCCGTATCGGAGAGGAAGCGAGAGCGATGGCGACAGAAAAGAGAGCGGCCCCCACTCCATGCAGCGAATCGATAGGCCGGGCGTGTCACCTGCGGGGAGAAGAAAATTATGCGCCCTGGGACATATCAGTCGTCGGGAAACGCCGACGACCTGATTCCCGAGGCCTTGGCCCGGAATTTCTCCGGCAAAGGTGTCCCGCGAAATGGGCCGGTAGACTGTTCTCTGACCTGCCCGAAACAAAAGGGAACTGGACTCGGTAGAAAGTCGTTTAGACCCTAAGAAATCCGGAGTGTCTCCTTTCCCACGAAGCTCTTGCGAGAGCCAATCGCCTCAATCTACACTCTAAAAAAAGTCTGTGCGCCTACTTTCCCGCACAACAGTCGGAGAGCCAATCACCGCAACTTACGGAGGCAGCTCAGCGAATGACGATGCCGAAACAAATGTTTAGACGAAAAAACGCAGTCTGAGTTGCGGCATTAAGCAGTGCAAAACGTCATGCTTGCATTGCTTAATGTCCCAACTCAGACTGCGTTTTTTGGTCTAAACATTTGTTTCGGCATCGTCATTCGCTGAGCGGCCTCCGTGAGTTGCGGTGATTGGCTCTCCGAGGGTTGTGCGTGAATGTAGACGCACAGACATTTTTTAGAGTGTGTGAAAGAAGCTCGACGAATGATCAGGTTGAATATATGTTGAGACGAGAAGCTTCGCCGAAGAAGAAGCAATCAGAAAGCAGGGAGCATGGAACGTAATAAGTCCCCGCGTTTTTCAAGCTGCCGATAAAGTTCCACGCACCACTCACTGGTCTTTCTTTAATTACGTTAAACCAATGAAAAGGCTGATTGGCATCATGATCCGATGACCATGCAGTGTCAACGGTCAACTTGGTGGCCCTCTTTTCTTGCCTCTGGGATCGGATGTCGTTAAGGAAATAGCTATGATTGGTGTTTCGAGTGCTCCGTTGGAAAAGGTATGTGCAGGACCCTACGGGAAGGTAAAAAGTCTCAATATTGTTTGATCCTTTTTTTTTTTTTTAGGTAATGCCAATTTTAGTTGCATATCGATGCCGTCAGGCGCGTGATCACCGCGAAACATAAAAATAAATAGCGGGATCCGAAACGGCGGCGAATCATTGACTACTTCGAAGAGCTCCACCCGAGATAACCATTTTCGTGTACTCCAGAGCAAAGAAGAGAAATATGTATCGTGTCATGCAATGGCCTGAAGGAGGCACGTAGCAAGGGGGGTGGCCCATGGGCCCCCCCACCCCCTTCCCCGATATCTTCCATTTTACTGGGATCTCCTCTCCAACCCTCCTCCTCATACAGCATTTTGTCATGGGCGCCCCCCCCCCCCCCCCCCCCCCCCCCCCCCGAAACAAAATCCTGGCTACGTGCCTGGCCCTGAAGTCATCAGACGCGTAAACACGAAGGCACTAAAGGTAGTCTCGCTGGGAGGGTCGGGAATGCTTGACGATGTTTTCAGCGACGTTGCAAGGAGTGACAGGGGTAGCGTATTTTCTGTCCACCAAGTCGGTACCACAAAGTATAACTGCAACTTCACTTAGACACACAAAAAAAAAAAAAAGCTTCTGAGCGCGATCTTTTTAGTTGTACTATAATCTAATAAACACTTAGGCAATTTTAGCGTCTTTTATGGGCCACGCGAAGGCACATCGGATAACAAGTTGCATTATTTTTCGCTCGCTCATGCACCCTACATTGTACCACCTGCACGCATATCCCAGCGCACCGGCCGTCCACTTTAAGATTCTCGTCCACGCAGGTGCACCACAGCCTTTTCCACCTCATTTTCTCCCCCACAGCTTCGGATTGGAACGGACTTTCCCACGAGATTACTACCATCGCGTGTCCATCAAGCATCATGCAATATGCAACCGCCACCTTTCATAATGAAGGATCATTTGTCTCGTTAAATCCCACCCCTTCTGTCGTATCCATTCGAGGGGCCTTTAATGAAATAAAATGAAGTAAAGCATTCTGTATAGAAGTTCATTTTTTTTTTTTCTAATTGAATGACAATTTGTTTTTGGAAGATCTCCGATTGACTTTGGAACAACCATCCATCGAACTCGTGTTGGCTTGGTTGTTGGAATCCGCCTTCTCTAATTTCTCGTGCCAGCTCCAAGGTCTTTTCTCATTCCGCCGAATCGTGCTTGGAAATCATTTTCGCTCCCCTCTTATGCGGATAGACAACTGGAGGAGGATTAAGCGCGGAGTGAGTGCCCACCTCTGACATTTCGGAAATCCTCTCATCTCGTCGAAGACGTCAGAATTTGTTGGACGGGATCGTTATGGCGTCGCGTGCGAGGTGCAGCTAACGCCTAGCGAGGAGATTCGCCCGTGCTGGCGATGCGCCGTTCATTGCGTGACCGTGTACGTCACCTGCAGGTCCAGCGGATGGTTAGGCTCGCGTGGATAGGGCGCTTATATGGGAAATATTACGGGACACTTCGTTTCTTTGTTGTTCTTGTTGACTTTTGTTAAGGGGAAGGGGGCAAATTATATTGGAACAATGCAATGTTAATTTAGATACCTGTCGTGAGTCTGACCTTGTTTAGATCCTCGGGAATATCACGATTCCTTTCATTATGGCGGGCAGAAATTCAAGATGTCGCGAAAGTTGTGGTGGTGGAAAACCTCTTTATTGGTCCTGCGAAAACCCCTACCCCTCCGTCACCCCTTCACCAACACACCTACGCACAGTCTGCCGGTGAAGCAAGCGCCGGGTTCGCTGGACGAAACCCCTTTGTCCCTCCAAGTCCACACACATCACACCATCCTTGAAGTCCTCCGGCCAGTCCTGGGTCCCCGATGTGTTGTACATCGAATGAAGGGGAAATAAAAAGATGTCGGGCCTATGAATGGAAAGGTATACTTTCCCGAGGTTTGATCCGTAGTAACAATATTGTATAATTGTCGTTTATGTTTATTCCGGGAAATATGATGACGTGAGCACTTCTTCGACCGTAATCAATTTGTTAACAGCGTTTCGCAGAGGAGAAAATACCCTACAATCTTGGCGATGTTCTCACACGATTAGGCGCATGAGTGTAAGCTCAGGAGGTTCAACCTCACTCATATGGAAACTAAAAACCTCGCTAACCGAATATCAAAAGATGGCTATATGCTTGCAGCTTTATATTGACAGGTGTGTTATTCCATATTCAATCTGTATTTCTTACGTAACATATACCAGGGGTACGATTGCGTACAATTGATAACAGTAGCGCCAAGCGGTCGGCCAAGTAGTCGCTGCCTATCTGTGTTTCCGCGATGCGATAAAATATTATTTGGCGTACATGTGCCGATGTTCTTCGCTCAATATGGAAGCTTGCAAACAAGGCAAAATTTCGAAACAAGTACACGTGACATTTTTCGAAGACAATAGACTGGAAGATGGGCTCTAAAATCTTCCATGTTTTTTTTCCATGTTTAAAAATGGGACAAAAAAGAAATTATGTTGGCCACTTTAATACCCGGCACATCCCGGTTAGCATGGAGAATAGAAGGGTAGGAGAGGGTATGACGTCAGCCGCGTAGCCTCCACAAGCCATGTTCCCTTGACGCCTCGCCTCTTTCTCATTTTCCTCCTTATTCTCACCACATCACGTGACCGTAGCTAGCCTTCGTCTAGCTATGGTGTACTAGAATACAC